ACGTTTTCATATTTAAAGGATTTGCCACTGACGATTCAAACACGAGTTTTGAGCAGTGTAGAGTAGTGCTTTTTGTTTGTCTTTTCTCCAGACATGGTTTTATGTTTACGCAGCGCGATACGCAATGCAACGTGTAAAAAGACAGTATAAGTCATTATAATCCGTAATTATGTCCCCACTGGATGCAACAAATGCCTGGTTTATAATGGGTTTTAATGTTTTTGTCTCGTCGCTCCGGCCGGACAGGGCATCATCACAGTATGGTGAGGGGCGTAACATTTCCGTCACACGCTTGAGGTATTCGGCCAATCACAACGCACTGGATAGCTGGCCAATCACAGCACACCTCGCTTTTTCAGACCGATGAGCTTTGTAAAAATCAATGCGTTTCAGAAAGGCGGGGCATAGAGGAAAAACAATAATGTACAGTATGTGGAAAATAATGTGTTTTTTGAACCTTAAACCGCATAAACACATTTCATTACACCAAATACACAGCATAATGTTCTTTTTAGCGACACCATATGACCCCTTTAACATTAAGTAAAATATTTCTTGAACAGCAAATCATCATGATTCTTGAAGGATCATGTGACACTGAAGACTAGATGGTGAAAATTCACATTTTTCATCACAGGAATAAATTACATTTTAAAATATGTTCAAACAGTTGTTTTAAATTGTAATAATATTTCACAATTGTTTATCAAATAAATTCAGCCTTGGTGAGCATATAAGACATCTTTTATTTATTGATCTCTGACAAGCTACATAGTAGTTTTATGTTTTTACATGAATTTTTACTGTTTTTCATACTGTTACTTTTTGGGCAAATTGCTTGGAACCCAATGTCAGTTAATTCGACCCACAACAACAACAAAAAAAAACTAATTTTTTAGTTTTTCTTTCTTTCTTTTTTCTTTTTTTTTTAATCCAACAGGAGAGTTAACATTATAATTAAGGCTTTGTATGCCATTTTTTATGAGTTCTTAAAGGGGTCATATGATGCTTTTTTAAAGATCAGTGTGTGTGCACTTTGGATCGGATAAATGCAGAGCACTAATTCCGAGTATGGGTCACCATACTTGGCCACATGTCACTTCACTTCACTTCACTTCACTTCATAAGACAAAAGGACAGTGAAATACCACATCTCTCATTCAAAGACACTGAGCAGTGATTGCGAGTCACATCAACAAACATAGGAACATCATACACCAAAAAATGAGTGGTTCCCAAACACGTTCATGGAGGCCCCCCCAACACTGCATATTTTGTATCCCTGCATCTCAATTCACCTACTTATACTAAGCCTAAAAGTATGCACTCTTTTTCTGAAGAAAAATTACATATTTTTGAGTGTGTAGCAAAAGAGTAGGCAAGCTTTGGGACATACTATCCCTTCGTCTTTCACGGACGCTCTCTGACGCGTCCTGACACCATAAACTAACCTGTCAATCATCTTGTCACAGTTATTATCCTCCACATTTAATTAATTTTCAAAAGAAAAAGTGGGTCTTTCATGTGGAGACTCTCTTCATATTAATGGATAATGATGCATTTAAAAGTTAAAAGTAAATACAACACGGATAACACTAAATAAATATTTTTATCAGGTTAAACTTAGATTATTAATCACTCATCCTCAGTTGCGATAATCTGTCATGTTTTATAGCTTTTTAACGGTTTTTACTCGTGTTTGTAGTTCTGAACAAATCCTCGTCCAAGTGCAATGAGTTGTCGGTTATATTAGCCTTTATAGTGTGCATGAATGCACACTTTGAAAACCTGCCGGAAATAGTAGATCATCCGGGGACTCTTGCCATACTCTTTCCAACATACTATGTTTTGGGACACACTTATTTTAATCTCACATACTATTTAGGATGGATAATATGAACATTGAGACGCAGGGTATGTCGCCTTTGTCTGACACACCCATTTCAGGTCTTGGAGTCTCTACTAATGAGCTGATGATCTGAATCAGGTGTGTTTGGTTACAGAGACATGGAAAATGTGCAGTGTTGCGGGGCCTCCAGGAATGTGGTTGGGAACCACTAAGTTATACATTTAGTCCTATAGGTGCTGAACACTAACGATCCCAAATACCCAACTGTATTCTAGAAATGAGTCAGAAAAATGCATCTATTTTTATAATCTATTTATCAGGAGTAATTGGAAATATAATTTTTATAATTAATAAATGATTAATCATTCAACCCTGCACTATGTGGATTTACTGACTGAATATGGCACTGTGTGTTTTATAGTGTGGATCATGGAGGAGGGTTCAGGATTACAGCAGGACTACAAAAATGTACGTCTACACACATACACACACACACCCATTTACTTAGCTTTCTAAATGGGGACATTACATAGACTTTTATTGTTTTTATATACAGATAGTTATACATTTTACAACCTCTATCCCTAGTTAAGTAGGTACACACTAGTGATGCGCGGATGGCGGTTATATCCGCGGGTCGGGTAATAAAAAATGCATTCTGATTATTCGCGGGTGGATAAGATAAATCATTAATGATGGAAATGTGAACTACATTTTCTAAAATATGAACGTGTTTTAAATAGGCTACAAAAATTGAATAAACTGTAAATTAACATATTAAAGTTATTCAACAAATCATTATTTAGTCAAGAGCAGTGAAGGATTTTCTCTGTCTTTTGTTGTTTGATTAACATTAATGACAGACGGCACAGCTTTATTAGGCTGCTGTCACAAGACCTATTTCACGGATCCAATAGGCCTACTGATAGTCATGCGTTTTATTTCGCAACTGTTTACATTAACTTAAGACAAAACCGACAGCGCTTATGAGAATACTCGCGAGGACGACCATTTTGACGTCATTTTGTGTGTATTTGGCCACTTAAGAGCAAGAAGCTCAATTTGGTACTCGCAGTGCGTGCTTTGGATGTGACTGAGCGCACATAAAGTACCAAATGACTTAAAAAGACGTGAAAATAATACATTTTTGTGGCGATGCAACAATGACCAATTAGGCAAGTGACAATTCTGTCAACTGTACCCGGTACAGTGTACCCATGGGCAGCGTTAGGGAGGGGATAGCAGGTGCTCCAGCACCCCCTAAAAAGACCAAAGCACCCCCATAGCACCCCCATATATTAAGAAAGATTAAATAAAATACAAACCTTTGACTTATTACACATGCGTAACTCATGCAATGCAATACAACGTGACTTGCAGTTGCACATTTCGTAATGTCATAGCATTTTATTTTAAAAATGGATCGGTTCCTTGTGCCAAGCAGGCCTACCCCCGACTAGTTAACTAGATGTTTATATTAAATTGATTAATATAATAACCTACTAAACCATCTTTTAATAAGCATTTAGGCGTATTATAGCCTATATTCCATGCAAAAGTAATGATTATGAATGCGTCAGGGGAAAAGGAGACATTTTAAATATTTATTACTAAACTAGTGCTTTCTCAGTCGGTGTCGGCTGCAAACACCGGCGCTGACTCTCAAGCTCCACAGTAGGCTAATGGACGTGCCTTTAAAGCACCTTTTTATTTTCTACACAGAGAAGATTTGTTTTTTATATGACTTTGTTCGTTCAATAGTTGACATTTCAAGCTTTCTATAGATTTATTTCTTATGTCTGTGAGCCGGCTCATTGTTGTGACGCGCTCCATTCACGGAGACTGCATGAGAGACAGCAGAAAGCACATCCAAAAATGACGGAGTACTTTAAGTTCTTTCCGCAGGAAAAAAACAATTATTGCCCGGGCGCCCCCATGTTATAGTAGCTAAGCGTGATAATACTCCCACACTCCTCATAAACACTTGAAATTCGCCTATATAGCGATGTTATTATTAATATAAATAATAAGAATAATAATAACCTGTTTGGTCATATTTACTAAAAATTGCTCAGCTCCCCCTGTCATTTATCTAGCACCCCCTCAGCACCTGCGTTCAGAATTCCCCTGAGTGCATCGAAACACGAGCTAAAGTCTTGTATCGCAGCGAGCAGCAGCTCTAGATGCGCCGATGTGAAGAGAAGGTCAAAGAGAGAAGTGAATGAGAATGAGTGCGATGTATGCGCAATCCCACACTGAATTCAGGACCTGATTAAACATAATTCTATTATACAGAGAATTGTGAAATAGATTTCCATGACTTTTCCAAAACTTTCTGGGTTTATTTATTTTTCCAAAACGTTCCAGGCCTGGAAATTGCTGTTTTAAAATCCATGACTTTTCCAGGTTTTTCATGACCGTATGAACCCTGAATGTGACGATCGGGTGCGGTTATCTAAATCAGACAAAAATACAGGTGGATAATTTGTTTGAAGCTGCAGATTCGGGTGACGTTTTATCTCATCCGCGCCTCACTAGTACACACACAGCTTTAGTGTTTTGATATATAAATGTCTGTCTTCTTGTGTTCAGATGCCTGTGATCTCACAGTGGATCCAGACACAGCACACAATCATCTCATTCTGTCTGAGGAAAACAGAAAGGTGACACATGTGAGAGAATATCAGTCATATCCTGATCATCCAGAGAGATTTGACAAGACTCTTCAAGTTCTGTGTAGAGAGAGTCTGTCTGGACGCTCTTACTGGGAGGCTGAATTGAGTGGAGATGCTGTTATATCAGTAACATATAAAGGAATCAACAGGAAAGGACGGGGTGATGATTGTGTGTTTGGACGCAATAAGAACTCCTGGAGTCTGAGACGCTCTAATGACAAATTCACTGTGTGTCACAATAACAAGTTCACTGACATACGTGTCCCTTTAGGCTCATGTAGGAGAGTAGGAGTGTATGTGGACGTGTCAGATGGCACTCTGTCCTTCTACAGTGTCTCTGACACGCACACACTCACACAATTGCACACATTCACCTCCACATTCACTGAGTCTCTCTGTGCTGGATTTAGGGTTTATGGTTTGAACTCCTCAGTGTCTCTATGCAAGATTTAAAAACCTGTGAGCAACAACAAAGATGACACACCCAGCCCACTCTCTCTTTGAACTGTTGCCCTCTGGCTGGTGCTACAGGTCACTGACCACCTGAACAGCCAGGCACAAGATAATTTTTCCCCCCCACAGGCTATATTCAGCCTGAACAGTTAAAACTCTCATGACTATACAGTATCCACCATAACTATGCATTTGTAAATAACCTAAAAATTGTTTATTTGTAAATTACATAAACAGTACACTTACAAATAGCGTATCTGTACATCCATTAAACAATTGTTTTTCCCTTCTATATTTCTATTGCACTGTAAAAACATGAATTTAGCCGTTTGCTCAGTTTACTTAAAAAAGTAAGCTAAAGCAACACAAATCTTTAATGTCTCTTTCATTTAGTTTTATTTTTGTTTTAATTTATTTGTTAAATTAAATTATACTTGTGAAATGTTAAGCTAACTTAATCCATTTGTGTTGGGACTACATGAAGCATTTTTGTTGCATTGACTGAAACTGGGCAGTGGCATTCTAGTTCCCAGCATGCTTTGCATAGGGCTGTATCAGGAGCATAAATGTTGAAATTAAGTGCTATTTAATGTGTTTTTTGAAAAGACCTGTTATTTGTGTAATATTCAGTTATGTTATATCTATCCTGAGTTTGAATCCAGGGGCCTCATTTATAAAACGTTGCGCAGAAACCATCCTAAATTTGATCTTGCGATCATCTCTCAAATATGCGTTCGTGTGATTCATAGAATGAACATATGCACAGAAAACACATTTTTTTACGTCAAAAAAAGTAAAAAAAAAATAAAAATAATAATAATAATAACATTCCAACTAATTGCGGGTGGGTCGCAGGCGTATGAGAAATAAATTATGAATGTGCTTATTTTAATAAAGACATGGAATGTAGGCTCAGTGCCCACGAGGCTTTGAAGGCCACAATGTAAATATGAACATGTTTCAAGTAGGGATGCACCGATACCGATACTGGTCTCCTGTACTCGTGCGGCAAACGACAAAACTGCAGCACGTGCTTTTAATTAATAAACAAAACGTGGGACATTCTACCAGAAATGTACATTATCTGTCCTTGACTTGTTACAGTGAATAAAAAGTATTACATCCAAAAAATGTCTAAAACTGACTGATGGTTGATTTCTGTGAGTTGTTCTGTAAAGGATTATGTCATTCATTAGGTTCTCAGATATTTTTTAATGTATTAAAAACACTTTTGAAAATTACAAATGCTGTTCTTGTCCTTGTCCTCAGCCAAATTGGACCTACAGCTTTCATAGTTTTGTTATGCTAAAAACTGTTATTTAGAAAAAAAACACTCCATCAATAACAAGTTTAAGTTGCTATCATTCACATCAAATGATTAAAAACATGAAATTATACATAAATTCTACAAATAAATACTATTTTACAACTGTCCCCATGTTTTCGGTCAGTCCTGTCACGTTTACATAAAACTCAACATAAAATGTGTGTAAT